GTGTGTGTGTGTGTGTGTGTAAAAGAAAAAGCGATGCAAATACATACAAATGAATTATTGAGGTTCTCTCAGATGCTTCAACAGGACGTTAACCCCTCCCCCTCTTGAGTCATATATGGCTGAAGACTCACACACACACACACACACACACACCCACACACACACACACACACACACACTCTTAACGTCCCTGTGGGCCTGTCCTTGAACAGATGGGGGGGATGAGCCATGACTCCAGGTTCCTGAGGTCAGAGCTGAGGTCGACAATCAGTTCTCTGGAAAATGAGAGGGGGCGTGTCTGTAGCTGGCGGCGGCGTCATTGTGACAACAACCAATCAGAGGGACACACAACGTAGCCAGCTTCTACCAGCAGAGCCTCGTACGTCATGGCAACAGATCGTTAATAAAGATGGACGACGTGACAGTTCCTAAAAGTGAAGCCAAAGCATCCGGATGGCCCCCTGGTGGCTGGCTGCAGGACAGGTCATGAACCCTGCCTCCTCCATGTTGGCAGACGGGACCAAACTAAAATATCACAAAACATAATAAATTTAAAAGTGACCGAGATGAGTTTGGTTTGAGACGTCATGATTGACAGCTGAGCCTGACTCCTGATTGGTAGAAAAGACGGTGTCGTTTGTTTCTGAGATATTTCAGATTTAAAATGTTGTTATTCACATTTTCTGTTTTAAAGCTTCTGTTGTTCTGTTTCATGTCAAACACACTGAGCCAAATCTTTTTTACAGTTTATTATTATGGATGTTTCTAAATCAAAATATATGTTTGAGGTTTTGAATAAAAACTCTGAGAAAACTGAAGTTTAACAGCTGATGAGAAGGAGATGAACAACATCCAGGGACTTGTCTTCTAAATCACATCAGCTCGTTCACATCAACGTCTCCACAAGAGTCAAGAAAACTTTAGAGAGAAAGTCTGAGTGAACATGAACACAACAGGGCGAGCGAGATGGAGAGAGAGAGAGAGAGAGAGAGAGAGAGCGAGGGATGAGAGAGAGAACGGACACAGTCTGGATTCATTCCAGTGCCATAAATCTGGGTATTGGATTTGATGACCAGGGGGGCAGGTCTGACTGGTTCTGGCCAGAAACAACTCATTTCTAAAAACCTGATTGGATGAAACACTGAACTCCTCCCTCCGAGCTGATTGGATTAAACAGCAGCCGCCAGATTTAAATCACGTCACCGGTCGACTCCACTGGAAAACTGGAAATATTCAAGAAAAGAGAAAAGTGTCCGATTCCAACCCCTGTGGGAGGAGTGTGCATGAGTGTGCATGAGTGTGCATGAGTGTGCATGAGTGTGCATGTGTGTGCACGTGTGTTGTAATGATATGTAGAGAGCGGCAGCCATGATGTCACTTCCTGTTTCGCCTCTTTACTCACTGCAGTCTCTTGTTCAGCGTTCACTCATAAAAAACTACAGCTCCCATAAACCACTGGGATAATTCCAGTGTTGCTAAAGTGTGTGTGTGTGTGTGTGTGTGTGTGTGTGTGTGTGTGTGTGTG